ATCCAAAGCAACCTTTTCTGAATGGTGTGTGGGGTAGGCAAGGGTTAGGTGTATAAGGAGAAAGACAGTGCATACTTGCTTGCCTTCCTTCCTACACAGGCGCATGCACTGTGGCACGGCACGCCATGCCAGGCTGTCAACAGGAACAAAGCCACTCCATCTCATTCCACCCACCCCACCCCACGCCATGCATGCATACATACGCGTGGTGCCTGCTGCTGCGCGGGAGCGGGAGCCTGGTGCGAGAACCTGCAGCGCGCCCCAAAGCGACAGCTGCTGCCACAAGAGTGGCGGGAGGGGGAACGGGCAAGGGGCAGGGGGGGACGGGGGACGGGGGACGGGGTGACGTTTGAGTCGACTCAAGAGTCACCGCGAGAAACTGCAGTGCCCCCCAAGGCGACAGCTGCCACAAGAGGGGCGAAGGGGGACGAACGGGGGGCCAGGGGGGCCGAGGAGGGCCGAGGGGGGACGAGGGGGGACGAGGGGGGACGAGAGGCGACAGGGACGGACGGGGAGGGGGAGAGAGGGAGATAGGTGGGTGTGTGTGGGTCAGCAGAGGACGGAGAGCACATGGGAGGGAGCACAGGGAAGCGGAGGAGACAGAAAGTGTCGTGGCGCTTACTCACCACACCCCACCTGTCTGCCCCGACCTGCCCGTCTACCCTCCTGTACCTGCCCCGCTGGAAGTCCCTACACAGCGCTGCCCCTCCGTGGTTGCTGCGCACGTGTGTGTGTGTGCCTTTGCACTGGTCGATCGTAGTACCTGCTCCATTGCCCCAACTGCCTCTGTACCCTACCCTGCCTGATCCATCCCCCGTCTGCCCGTACCTGCCCCGCTGGAAATCCCTACACAGCGTTGCCCCTCCGCCGTTGCTGCGCGTGTGCGGGCTTGCACCGTTCGTACCTGCCTCCATTACCCAACTGCCTCTGTACCCTGCCTGCCCGTGCCTGCCTGCCCGTGCCTGCCTGCCCGTGCCTGCCATCCCTGCCCCCACCTGCCTACCCGCCCGTACCTGCCCCGTTGAAAGTCCCTACACAGCGCTGCCCCTCCGCGGTTGCTCATGACCCGCGCGCTACGTAGTAGTGCCGGTGAAGGGGGGAGCGGGACCTGCCAACGTCGGCTGTCGATATCAGCCTTTTCTTTTCTTTTTCTTTTTTTTTTTTTTCTCTGTTTCGGCGGAACGCGGGAGTATCGTACGAATGCTCGAGACGGTGTCGGACGGAGCAGTTTGTCTGTGTGTGTGTGTGTGACGCAACGAACGGCGTGATTTGTTCGCACAGCTGCCTCTGACGATGTGCACGGCCTGATTCCGACTCCCGAGCTGCTGTTTCCTTTTCGAGACAAAGCGCCGCTACTGCTGCTGGTTTCAACCGCAGTGTGTGCTCAAACAGCAGCTTCGCTTTGATTAAAGTTTCACTTACGGTATTGATGAAAAAGTCCGTTACAGTCAATGTGTTTTTCATGACGCTCACCAACTTTGTTCGTAAAGTAAGCCTAGCCAACCATACATTTGCTAAGTCTCAAATTGCACAGTGGAATCTAAAGCATTCTAGATCACCATATACACTAGTACAACGACCGCATACATCTACATACCGTACACGTCCCCACCCCACCCCAACATTCATAGCATACCATCCTCATTAGAGCTCCTCCTCCCCCCTCTCTCCCTTCCACACTTTCCCCCACCGACCGAACCAAGCTAAGACGGCACAAGGACAGCACGAAACTCTCCTCCACTTTGCTTCCACTCAACCCAATTCCTTATCCAGGGGTGTTGTCGGCAGGCAGGGAGGCACAACATACAGCACATGCAATGAATCATCAAACTGCACACCACCACTCCTTGCAGCAGCGGAAGCAGGAGCACGCGCAGGGGAATGCGCAGCAGCAACTGCACCAGCAGTAGCAGCAGCAGCTGCACCACCACCAGCGGCAGCAGCAGGACCAGCAACAGCACCAGGGGCAGAAGCAGCAGAACCACCACCACCACCACCACCAGCATTCTGCCTGGACCCACTATGCCCCACTACCGTACCACCATAACCACCAGCACGAGCCTCCCCTCCCACGGGCGACGTTCGGTCCACCATGCCTCCATACACAAGCACAGCCGTGCCCCCTGCCACTGCACAAGCTCCATGGTACGCCCGTGCTGCTGGTGCTACTCCCAGTGCATGCACCTGCTGCCAGTATGGGTGCGGCTTTGTGGCGTGCTTCAAGGCTGGTTGGGGTGACGGCAGGGAGAGTGGCGGCACAGGTGGGTTGCTCGTGGCTCGCGCTGCTGCGGCTGCTGCTGCTCCTGGTGCCTGTAGTTGTGCAGCTGGTGCGGCTGCTGGCGGCGGTGGTGGTGGTGCTGCTGCTGCTGCTGCTGCGGCTGCTGCGGCTGCTGGTTGTGCTACGATGGGAGCTAGAGCAGGAGCTACAGGTAACATTCTATCCGTTGGCACGCGAAGACAAGGAACCGCAGCAGGAAGTATGTGTTGTTGACTCTGAACCCCCACTCGCTGCTGCACCACCACCTCTGCATTCTCTGCCGCCGCTGCTGCTCTTCCCACTCCAGTCTGCCCTGCTTCAGGCACCGCCTTTGGCTTCCATTCACAACCCCCCTCTGCAACTGTTGGAACCACCTGGGTCTCCTTGCCTCCTCCTCTCTCACCTCCTCTTCCTCCTCTGTCTCCTCTGTCGCCTCTGTCTCCTCTGTCTCCTCCCGTGCCTCCCCTCTCCACACCTGTGCCTCCACTCTCCACACCTGTGCCTCCCCTCTCCACACCTGTGCCTCCCCTCTCCACACCTGTGCCTCCCCTCTCCACACCTGTGCCTCCCCTCTCCAAACCTGACCCTCCTGTTACTCGCCCCCCTCGTGTCTGCCCGCCACTACTCTCACTACCTTCGCCTCCTCGGTCACCGATACAGCCGCCTACCTCCTCTGCTGGCCCTCCCCCACTCCTCGCACCCCCACCACGCAACGCACACTCTCTCAAACCCTCCACATAATAATCCCCCGACAACCCTCGAGCCCCCAACACTTCACTCTCCTGCTCTCCTCTTTCCCTCATGTCCGCACCTACCAACCGGCCGTTCACCCTTCTCCCTTTCCCCTCTAACAGCCCCATTGCTTGCCCCTCGCTCACCGCCTCATACACACCACCACGCCCACCACCACACACACCGCCACACACCGCACCACCACGCCTACCACCGCACCAGCCTAGAGCCCCCACTCTCCCCCGCATATCCAGAACCCACAGGTCATTCCGCCGGTCCCTGTTCTCCCCCTCGCCCCCAAACAGCACCACCCGCCCATCCACCAGCCGTGTTGCCGAATGCCCAGCCCTAGGCCCAGGCCCTGCCAACCCCTCCCCTTCCCTCCCTTCCGTCCATTCCACCCTTTCCATTCCCTCCATTCCTTCCATCCTTTCCATCCCTTCAACCCCACCTGCACGCCCAGCCCCAGCCCCGCCACAGCCATCATCCCCTTTATAATCTTCCTCGTTGTCCAGTAAAGTCCATCTGGCAACGGTATCCCCTTGTAACTGCATGATCCACACGTCACTGAGAACCTCCATGCCTGCCCCTCGGCCGCCTATCAGCACTGCTGTCCCCTCACAAACGCCTGTCAGGGAATGGCCTGATCGCGCACACGGCAATGCGTGCCTCCCTCTGCTGCTCCTCTCCCTGCTCCTCTCCCTGCTCCTGCTCCTGCTGCTGTTGCTGCTTCTGCTCCTGTTCCTAGCAGCCAGAGCACCCATAGCACCTCTGCTACCACCAGCATCATCATCACCACCAGCAGCAGCAGCAACAGCCGCACCATCACCACCACCACCACCACCATCTCTCGCTTCTGCTCCACATGCTCCCACCTCCCCCCCAGCACCTTCCACCCCGCTTTCCCCTCCCCTCCCTACTTCTACTCCACTGTCTCCCCGTTCCTCTCCACCCACCATCTCCAGCTGTCGCCACGTGATTGGCTCCTCCGCCAGGTCTAGCAGCCACGCATCGGACAGCCTACAGCCAGCAGAGTCTATACCGCCGAACACCACCACCCGCTGGCCCCCCATGTGCGTCCCTGCGTGCGCTCCCCTGGCGGGTGGGGAAACCGCGGGATGCAGCTGCTGCCATTGCCAGTCATTCTGCTGCTGCACCGAAACTGCAGCAGCAGGGTTGCTACCACCGAGACTGCCAGCAGCAAGCGTGTTGGAAGCAGCAGCAGCAGCAGCAGCAGCAGCAGCAGCAGCAGCACCACCACCAACAGCCGCGGGGACAGCAGGAGTAAGGCCAGGGGGACAACCGGCGCAGCCTCTCGCTGCGTCGGGCCAAAGAGCCACGTGTCATCAAGCCGTTGGCCGAGGTCGTTGATCCCTCCGAACATCACCACCATGCCTCCGTCCACACCTGTCATGCTGGGCTGAAACCGTCCCCCTGGTCCCATCACCTCTTCTTTGTGCTTCTCACAAGAACTTACACATGCCTGCTGCCGCCGCCGTTGCTGCTGCTGCCCCTGCTGCTGCTGTGGCTGCTTCTCCTGCTGTTGCTGCTGATGCCGCTGCCCCCGCTGCTGCTGGAGCCTCCCCGGTCGTGCCCCTCGCGTAGCCTCGCCCGCCCGCCCAGCTTCGACAGTCTCAGCAGCCTGGCCCGCGGGGCCACTCAGAGGCTGCCACGTCACCTCGGGATTGAAAGACGGGACGGGGGAAGGGCGCGAGGCGTGGGGTGGTGGAAGGGATGGGGAGAGAGCGGAGGGACGGGGAGGTCGAAGGGTTGGGAGAGAGGAGGGGGCGTGGAGGAGGGGGTGGAGCAGCCACGTGTCTGACAGGTGTTGGCCCCCGCTGCATCCCCCCCCAAACATCACAACAGGTGCTTCCGCCGTTTCCCACGCCGCTGCTGTCGCCGCCGTTGCCGCTGCTTCTGCTGTCGCTGCTGGTGATGTTGCTGGTGGTGGTTGCACCCCCTCTATCGCCCTACATGCATCAGACGACCCCCACCCCACTTGCGCCATGCCGTGCGACGCTCTTCCTACTGGTCGTTTCTCACCCCTCTCTTCCACGCCGCACCACGTCAGGCCGTCAAGCGCACTGACGGACCGGTACAGGGAGTACCATCTGCCGCCCAACACAGCTTGCACTGTCGGCTGCGTCTTCTGCTCCTGAGGCTCCACCTGAGGCTGCTGCTGCGGCGGAGGCGGCGGCGGCGACGGCGACAAAGGCGGCGGAGGAGACACGAAGGGGGTCCGGGGTAGGGGGAAGACGGCGGAAGCAGCCCCGCGCGCAGCATGCTTCCCCCAATCGCGCTCGCTCACAGATTCCCACACGGCGTCCGCGAGAGCTATTTCAAGGAAATGACGACACGTGGCAGCCAACGAGAGGATGGCGGCGGGAGGAAGCAGCAGCAGCACTTGATGCCATACCTCCTCAGGTAAAAAACCTGCCGAGCAGCCTCCTCTGCCGTTACCACGGCTGCTGCTAGCTATCGCATATTGGGAGTCGTTCCTACAGCTACTAACAGATTGGCCATCGATGGTATCGAGTAAATTGGTACCAGTTATCTCGTCGTCGTTAGCGACGGAGTTATTGGGGTCACCTCGGCAATAATCTCCAGTGGCGCAGCACTGCTTTTTAACCAGGCCAACCAATCTATCCTCATCCGCATCCTCGTCCTCATCCTCCCGGCTCTTACGTTTATCCATGGAGGCCGTATCGGCAGCGTTTCGTCTCACCAGTCGGTTTCTATAATCCTCAACCAACTCGTAAACTTCGTTTTCGAGCATTACGCGACGATAGGAGTGGAGAAACCTGGGTTTCTGGGCTGGAGATGGGATAGGGAGGCGAAAGAACTCGAGAGAAACACGGACCTCGAAAGTTGGAAACAGAAACAAGAGACGAGGGGAGGAAGGGAATGAAGGGGGGACGCACTGTAGCTGTAGCGGGAAATCGCAATTTGTAATCGCAAATTGGGATTGTGATGACCTCGATTCGCGAATCGCAAGAGTACACCGTGGAACAACACAGCAAAGCGAAATACCCTTTTTTCCCGGGCTATTGGGAGAGAAAAAGCCTCTCGCGGATGATTGGAAAAGGTCAGGGACAATGGTGAACCTCGGTAGTGGCAGCGTCTTTTTCATAACAGAACCCCATTGCAATCTATGCTATAAAAATCATTTGCAAGGAGCTTCTCTAACGATAACATGACTTTCCCACATTTGTTGTAAATTTTCATTAGCATCAGTCCATTGCTAAACTCTTAATGGTCTACAAAAAACTTACCCCAGCAAAAAAAATCTACACAACCCAAAGGTATGCCTAGAAGGTGCATGCCTAACCTAATCTCATCATGCTGCTGACCACTTGGCGACTTCTGCCCTTGCATTTCAGTTGCAGGAAGAAATTAATCGCCCACTTCGATCTCCTCCCTAATCCTTGCAACAAAATGGGCGGAAGGGGCCATGGATGGAAACAAACAACACACTAAGAAAAACAAGGTACTAACCAAGAAAATTTGTAGAGAAAAAGAAAACAACTGCTGATGTTGAGCAATACCGTACCACCAGTCTAGTCTACTCTACACTATGCTGCAGTGCCTCCTAATCTCCAAACGCAGCTAGACTAGACAACTGACTCAAGAGTGGATGATGAGTGTCGTCTAGGAATGTCCATCTTGCTCACACTACTAATGCTGGCCTTGCTCGCACCGCTGCTGCCTCCTCTTACTGTACCGCTTCCCTTGAGCCCGACCCCCCCTCTGCCAACACCCACACCACCCACCCCTCCCACACCCACTCCCACCCCAACCCCACCCACTCCTCCCACTGCCCCTACTCCCCCCACACCTCCCACGCCCCCTGTGCTGCTTCCAAGCAGCAAGTTGAACCACCCGCTGTTGCTGCCTGCGCCCAAGCCCAGCCCAGCGAGTCCATCCGCGGAATCATCTAAAAAGAGATCGTCAGGGACTCGAAACGCCGCGTGGATGCAGATTACAGCCACTCCTATCACCGTTCCAGACATGACCGCCGACCCGAGAGGGCTCAGGCCGAAGACTATTAACGCGGATAACAGGCACATGATGATTAGCTTCTCCCGCTCGCTGAACGACCGCCCGGCGACGGTGATTGGTCCGGGGCGGAACAGGAAGGTGTAGCCCCAGGCAGCGGCGAGGATCGCGAGCCAGAGAATCGCGAACGGGTTGTGTAAAACGGAGATGATTATAGCGAGGAAGAGGACGACGAGGTAATTCGCGTGGAAGTAGCGGTTGTTCTTGCGGATGCGGCTCGCGGCGTCGGAGAGGCTCTCGGGCCGCGCGAAGGCGGAGCGATCGACGAGCTCCAGCCATGGCCGCTGCTGCGCTGCTGCTTGCCGCATCGCGTCGCGAAGGCGGGAGACGAGGAGAAGCGCGATGGCGACGTTGGGGTTGGAGGAGAGGGAGGAGGAGGAGGAAGAGGTGGGGAGCGAGGAAGAGCCATTAATGGAGGTGGACGACGAATCCCTAGAGATTGTCGAGGAGGTGAAGGGAAGCAGCGGTTCCTTTGACTTGCCCATTGCCGAAAGCTTGAACCAGCGGAGGCTCTGAACCAGAAAATGCTCTGAACCAGCGGACGCACTGTTGGTGTTATGAGTTTCGAATCTGAATTAGCAGAGAGCTGACTGGAGATAAGATCTGAACCCTAGATGAATGCGACTGGTGGAAATCGATGATGAAGGGTGAGACGTGAATTTCAGAAGCGTTCGTTGACCGGGAAACCTTGCGACCTCACACCACAGAATCCCGCCGCTCCTCTCCTCCCGGCGGACCTCCCACCGTGCCTACCAGGTCGATTAGAAGACCGAAAGCAGAAAAAGACCTGGGTAAAAAAGGATTTCACGCGGTCTATGCCACATCTATTTGGCAGCCGAGGAGCGGGTGAGACGGGGAGATCCCCCGCTACTACGGATAAGGTCCATCAAGCGGACATCGCGATAACGCACGCCTGGAAAGTGATCGGAACGCAGTCAGTAGAAGGACACGCAAGTCTACCTCGCCGATCTATGCTGCTGCTCTCAGGAACGCGGATCCCCGCCCCAAAACGGCGACAGATTCCCAATCGCGATGACTAGTAGGATCCCATCAATGAAAATTCGTTTTTAGGGCCGCTCAAGTTGCAGGGATTCAAAAGAGCTCGATAGTACTTAGTAGTGTACGTCCTTTCTGCTCCACTCCCTGTGCTCCCCCCACTCCCCACGCCACCTACTCGCTGGCTCAAGTTGTGAGGTGAGGCAAAGGCGAGGCGAGGCCTGGTGGCGAGGCGAGGCGACTGACAACGACGACAGAACCAGAGGGCCAATCACAGCCACTCGCGCCAGCAGCAGACACACAGCTCATCTACACCAAAAGCCACGCTTTTGCATTTACAGTGTTAGGTATAGGTGACTAATATTGTATGTACTCATACGGAATGCGTGCACCAGCTTTGGTGTAACATTCTTCTACATCCTGTTATGAGTTGTAAAAGAGAGTGCGCAGGTAAACGAATATCGAGGCTGTGACTGAACAATGAAGTAGCGAGGCCTAAATAGGGGAAAACCTAGCTAGGCGGGGGGTTCGGGATGGGATGGCTCGGTGATGGCTACGATTGGAGCGGAGGCCGACTCGGGGGTGGTTCGGTGCGACGAATTAGGCAAGGCAGGTTCGTCGCGACACCCTCGGGATGTACTCGCTAAAGTGCGAGTACAGTAAGGAATTGTAATTCCTTACACTCTCCCACCTTCCAAAGAATGCAGCCACGTACTGAAACAAGCCCCACACTAGCGAGGATTTCGTAGATCCCCTCATCGGCTGAATCCGACGGCTGAAATCCCTTGGGCGAATTTGAAATAAAGGTTGGAATTGAGGACGTCGATGCAGTCAGATTTCGATCTGACGGTCGAAGATGAAGTGGCCCAAGTGAATTGGAAGGTTGGAATGTGGGCCGTAGATCCGACGGTCGAAGCAAATGCGATTTTGGAGGGAACCTGCTGACGCGAATTCAAACGCGATTGAGCAGGGGCCGTCGATCGTGTCGGTGTGATCCCTATCGTCCGTCGTGCTGACGCAACCTGACAAAGTCAGGAAGGATCGAGAAAACGCCAAGGAAAGAAATAGTGCAAAGCACTTTCTCCCCCCCTCCAAGAAAGTACACCAGAAAAGTTCCCGCAGCTGCGCCGAGATGAAAACAAACACAAACAGGTGTTAAGTCCCACTGAAAGCGAGTGTGATCGAAGAAGTCCGGGTGAAAATGCGTCGGTGTGGAAATTCGATGACGAAACCAGTTGTTACGTGCCCCAAAATTCTTCGAGGGCGAACCAGCAGTTGTAGACCAGAAACTGAACGAAAATTCCGCGTTACTCGAACTGAAGTTGTTCTTTCTTCACATGCCAGAATCCTGCAGTATCTCCAGCAGTGGCAGCCAGCAGCACCTAACGTGGGCAGAATGTAAACTCATTTGTCCTGGGCGGATCGAGGTTGTATCCCGAAATCCTCTGGCCGTGAAGTCGGGAGTTTTACGAGTGTCGTCAAAGTCGGCGATCGAAGGCGATTGGCAGTGAGAATGATTATCGAATGTTGGCGAAGGTTGTCGAAGCAGTAACCAAATCGAATGTCACTCCTGTCGAAATTGTCGAATACTTGATCAGTGTCAGATGACGTCAGCTACCCCCGGCAGTTTGTCCAGACTCGCCGAGGAGTTTGTCGTAATGTGCCGATGCTGCTTGGGCAGAGATGAAAATTTCCCAGCTGTCTCTCCCCCCTTCCACTGTTGCTGCCGCCCTTTCCAGTTCGTCGTGATTCCTTCGTACCCATGAGAAAATCCGTGTAGTTCTCGCGCTGTTGCCCGCCATCGTTGCCGCTCGCGTTAAACCAACTCCAATGACATCCCACGAAATTGTCGGCGCTTCCCGCCGTAAACCCACCGGTAAGTCCTCGTGTAAAACTCCGAAAATGTCGCTCGTAAACAACCCCGTAAAATTCGCCGTTGCAGTTGCAGTTCGCCTCCGAAAATCTCGGACGTGCTATAGCCGCCCACCTGGTCACCAGCAGTTTCCGTCAGTTTACCCGACCCCAGCATGTGGGTTCAATCGAGAACCGGGGACTGCCCTGGGTCTTCCGAGACCGAATTTCACGGAACCTAGTGGCATCAACGCCGTTGACCCCGTAGTCAAAAACTGTTCCCGCCGTTGTCGCTTAACCAAAATTCCTGTTTCTCCCACGAGCGCTTTGCAGATGTTTCACCCATCGCTCGTCGCCGGCCGATAAGTTCCCGAAGCTACGACTGCTCCCACGCTTCCCTTTTTTGAAGAATTTCCCGAGGTGTGCGTTTAAACACCGGGGGTCCTAGGAATCCTCGCCGCTGTGTTTCTTGCCAGGCAACTTCGAAAAGTGCCCTTCAGGCGAAGTCCCCCAACGACTCAACCGCACTCCAAGAAGCGAAGAAATACCCGCAGCTTCACGATTTTTTTTTTTTGTTGTTTCACCCCCCGACAATTTCGCTTCCCGCCGTTCACCCAGCGCCCGCTTTTGTCGGATGAGGTATAGTCGGTGTTGCCCCGCGCGAACCCGGCTGCGGTGGAGGGGCAAAAACTATCGGAGTCGGGGACCCTTAATTAAAAGGAACAGTCGCCCAACCGTTTTGCAGCCCACCGCCAACCGTCACGCTACTAAAATTCCGCAGCTTCTCGGTCCCGCTTCGCCGCTGCGTCGTCACCTTGTGTAGACGCTCGGATCAGGGGAAACCAGCGAACTGCACCGGTGTTGTCCTTGCGGCACCCCGATTTTTTCGCGTGCTGTTTCACCCAGCCCGCTTTTGTCGGAGTAGAACAGTGCCGCAACTCCCCTTTTTTGTCTTTTCTGTACAGCTGTCGAACGGGCACCAATCCAGGTGCTTTTAACCAGCGCAGGGTAGACCGCGTGTTCACCCCCGTTATTCGGCCAAGTAAGTTGACTGCATGAGTCAGAACTAAAACTTGGTGGGGATGGTGAGGTTCGGGCGACGGAAGGTCACAGGTCGTTCACACCGGCTTTTAACCTGCCCTTCACGCCGTTCTTCAACCCCCGCTTAGCCGTCGGGCAGTTTCTGTCCGTGTGTCCCAGCGGCCTGTACCAACTCCTCCGTAAATGTCGGAGCAGTACGTTGAACGCCGTTTAACCGTGGGCTGTTGAGGCTGTCCCCGAAAATGACTTGGGAATCCACTCTCGAAATTGCCGGCCAGCAGTCAACAGTTCCAGGCACGCAGCGTCATGCGAGTTTTCTTCGGGGTGTATGAGCACGATTTGCCCTCGCCGCCTGCGTCCCACTCCTCTTGAGTGCGATTTAGCCACTCCGTTTTTTGTAGCAACCCGTAAGTGTCGGCGGGTCTGAAGTTCCCGTCTGTCCACGTGCACTCCTGCCGAAATCTCCGATGACGCGCCCGCCATGCAGTAAAAGCCGCTGCACTTTCAGGTCGGGCGGGACGGCAGTTGACTCCCGCATAAATCGGGCACATCGCGTGTCGTCTCTCCTCGCCACCGACTTTTTCGGACGCAAAACACCATTTGCGCCTGGCGAGTTCCCCAGCCGACTTTTTCTTCAACTGTTGCTCCGAAATTGTCGCCCTTGCTGACGCAGGTCCTTTTGTCGCCAGCTGCCGAAGATCTTCCGAGAATCTCGCGCACATGTAGACGCCGTGCCACCGACGTCAACTGCCGCGTAAGGACGATTCCGAAATCGTCGCCCAGCCGTTGACTGGAGTCCGACGGCGTCAGCAGCCACACACAGTGACGACATCGATGCTGTTCATGCAGATGCCGACGCAGGTCCGCTGACGCCAGCTGCCACACGAATCAAGCTCCGAAATCGTCGGAAATCGCAGCGGAAATTACTCACTTTAATGTCGCGACAGCTACTGCTGCCCGTCGCCCGGGGGGAGGGAGGTCACGGTCGTTTGCGACCGTTAGAGGCAAGAATCCGGCGGTGCCGAGGAGTGCACGAAAAAACCATGGCCGCGAAGAGCAACTAACCCGTTCTCTTGGCCGGCCTACGCAACTCCTGGACCCCAGGCCATTCTTCCTCGTCCCCCCCCCCCCCCCCCCCCCCCCCCGAGGGGTAATACACTCTAAAAAGCGGGGTAGGCTAGGAAAGTAGCTCTGATACCAGGTGTTATGAGTTGTAAATGTTAGAATCTAAGGCAAGGATGATGAGATTAGGTCAAGGTGGGGTACAAGAGTAGAGTGTCGAGAGAAATGTGTGTACCCCCTAAGGCTATCCCCAATATAGCCTAGATATAATATGCATATGTTTTGACACACCCCCATAGGCGAAATGGGGGATAGCCAGAGCAAGCAACGGTCACAAGACCAGTCAAGAGACAAAAACACAGCTCAGGGTGGATCACAACGTCACCACTCCCACTGAGCACAAGCAAACGGCCACAGGGCCAGTCCACATGCAGAGGTATATAAGCAACAAGAACAGTACAGTGATCTCTAGCTAGCAAGAGCCAACATGCAGGTATATATATATAAAGATCACAGTACAAACAAGGGCTACAGC